TTCCAGGCTTGGCAGCGGCGCTGGGATCGTTGTGTTCACTCCCAGGGGAACTACTTCGAGGGTGATGGATGAATTTAATACCTGAGATAAGTGTACGGGTTTTTATAGGCGCAGTCTTGAAACTTTCCGATCGCACCTCGTAAATACAGTAAACAGAAAATAAAAGTATAAAGTAAACTAAATATTCGTGCCAAAGGAAACAATTACTTTCTCACGTCATCACACTGCCTTCGAAGGACAGCAGGGGTGCCAAAAACGTCCAGAAATCTGCGCATGCCATTTGCTACAATGACGCGCCTAACTGAAGGAATTTCCTGTAGGCTCAGCGTCCACGATGAAACTGTAATACATTTTGCCCTTGAAAGTGATAATGATTTTGATTAATAGGAAGAAATAATGCATCGAGGCTGCCAAATTATAATAGCAATGTAGTTCATGTTCACATCCGCACAAACACAAGTTTGTAATAAACTAATGAGCTGCCTTCAGGCAACGACTGCATTTCAAGAGATGGGCCTAAACATTTTGTAAATTAGCAGAGCCTCGCCCTTTCTCTAATTACCAAAGAATACGCTCTGTTGCCGCTGTTTTTAAAATAATTATTGTTATACGTAATTTTTTTCAACTCACTTCCTGGGAGAGGAGAATGTAATATCCTTAATTAAAAGTGATCCCTACAGGAATAAAATTTCACTGCAGGTAAGAAACTATGAGATGTTTATCTTGTTACAAACATCAAACTTCAAACGAGAAAGTATTTTAAAACGTGAAATGTGTGGTTATAGAAGTTAAATACTCAATCTGAGACTTTACCGTTTAAATTACTTTTTGAATTAAACCGATACGTAATTAAACAATAAAAAAGCCTACGTCCTTTGTAAAAAATATGATTCCCTTGAATCAACTTCACGGAGCAAAGTTCTTCTTGAAAAAAAAACCAATAGTAGCTCAGGTAATTAAGAAATTTCACTCTTTTACGGAACCCGAAGGTTAAATGTCATTGGACCTCAGTCTGTTAGATTTAGATGTACAGAGTGACATGGAAAGCATTGCGCGTGCTCGTAAAATGACCAACAGAGAAGTCTTTATGTAAGAAATAGCTCCAGGATATTTATTTCTGTTTTGTGGTAGAACAGAATAGTAAACGAAACATAAGAAAACTTATATTCTGTTAATGAAGAAATGACGAACTAGAGACTGGAGAAAGACGCAGAATGTAATGAGAAAATACGAGGCTA